ATACCAAAAAAATCAACGTGACTGTAATAATCACTTTACATTCAAAGTTTACATTGCTTTGAAATTTAATGCCTCTCCCTGATTAAATGCAACATGTCAGCGACGAATTACTAAAGGTTAGTTATTTGTGAAATTTTCTTTTTCTTATAGAAGGATACATAATCGTCGTCTCAAGAGATTTACTAGCCTGACATTTCGGATTCCTACTCAAATCCAACATCAGAGACAAAAACCGGAAACGGGTGTTTATTGCACAAGGGGCTGCGGTATTTATAGGATGTAGTATCCATGCACTCGCATAACTGTGAACATTCACGGCTGCTTCCTTCATCTGGGATCGTCGCACTTGGTGTGATCATTGCTTGATGGCCAACAGTCGAGTCCATAATTGCTGCAATTTCATCACTTTCGTTGGATTTTGTCGTGTTAAATGCTCGACCATCTAACGCACCAACACCGGTGTTGGGGAAAGTGTTCACCTCTGCGCTCCCCACATAGCTTGTTGCTCCGCCTAGGCGTGTCGAAACGCACTGCAGTTAGCCGGAAGAGAAAATTGCCGAACTACCCGCATGACTTATTACTCGGCCTAGGCGAAGTTCCAGTACGGAGTATTGCGTGACGAAAGACGAGTTTCTTTCGATAAGATCTATTCCACTGCCGAAAGCTGGGCTGAAAACTTGAAAAAGTGAATCGCGTTCGGAAACGTTATCGTGTACTCATTTCAGGTAGATAACAACTCAACTCGAAAAATATACCCCGAAATTAAGCGTGACTGCAAACATCACTTATTATTCACCGTTCCCATTGTTTTGCAATTTCCTTCCGTTCCGTGACTAAATGTACTCTAACCAGCGACGCAATGCTCAAGGTTCGTTATTTTTGAAAGTTGCATCTTGTTGCCTTTTTTAATTACTGTGATGACATTTGCCAAATGGCAGCGTATGATAATAATTTCGGCAGCAATGTACCTATGATCTCTGTCTCCTTGCTGTCCGTCCTGTGTGTTGCTGTCGTTGTAAAGCCCTCTTCGCCGCCACTCAACGTACGGCACGTCCAAAATCGACGTTGGTTCCCTT